AAAATACAGGACTCAACTCACGACAGTACATGACTTACTCATGAAAATACAAGACATAACTTATAAAAATACAAGACTTAAATTACGAAAATACAATACTCAACCTAACTTGCGAAAGTGCAAGTCTCAACTTATGAAAGTCCAAGATTTAACTGACGAACATACAAGACTTAACTCAAAAAAGTGCAAGACTTTACTCACGAAATTATAAGACTTCACTTACGAAAATATAAGACTTCACACACGAAAATACAAGACTTCACTCAAGATAATGCAAGAATGCACTCACGAAAATACAATACTTTACGAACGAAAATACAGGACTTCACTTACAAAAATACAAGTCTTCACTTATGAAAATACAAGACTTAACTCACGAAAGCGCAAGACTCAACTCATGAAAGTAAAATACTTAACTTTCGAAAATATGTATTCTCTCACACATACAGTCAAGGAGCTGCAATTGTGTAGCCGCTTAACACTCGTCTGCGGGTCGGGAGGTCGTGGTCCTAGGTTCCGCTTGAGCCAGATTTTTTTTTTTTCGCAGATTTATTTTGGTTAGTTAGTTAATAGGCAGATTTCCCCCGCTGCACACTGGAAAAGTGTCCATCATCGCCCGGATTTCATCTTCAGGGTACTACTCAACGTGTGGCGGTTGATAACACCAGTTCTGTGTCAGTTTAATTATTATTCTTGAGCTACCTGTACGGTGTTCATGTCTGACAATGCGTCATTCAACCCGAAGTTCGTGTAGCCGGATCATTTTCGTGGCATGTACCAATCGTGGCCCTGCTAGACAGTCAAACTTTCGTTCATTCCCTCTTACTTCAAAATGTCTTGGTGCAAAAATGAAAATGATTCCTACCGGATGAGATTCCTTTAGAAGAGGAAACATATTTAAAAGATCTGAACATCAAGGCTAATAAACAGCATCCTTTCTCGAAAGCTGAAATATTTTGGTCATATCAAGCGCCACGACGGATTAGAAAAAAATTATAGCAGAAGGCAAGGTACAAAGAAGGAGGAGCAGGGGCCGACCGAAACGTAGATTGGCACATGATATAAGTGACTTCTTGAGTTTGCAAGTACATGAGGCGGGAGAGCTGGCGAGACACCTAGTTTCTTTCAGACAGACCGTGATGAAAGCGACGTTCTGCAAAGGACCTGCTACATGATATTGATGATGTCCTAGTGTCGTAAAAATCTACTACTACTAGAAATGCACATTAAAAATCAAAATGACACAAATTCTTTCCGCACGCAACAGCGCCAAAAACACAGGATTTGCACCTCTGAAGAAAGGATGGTGTACACCAAAAACGGTTTCGTCATTTCAGCCTATGTTGCTTGTAAACTGATTCACGTCTGTAAATGTTATGTGATGCTGACTTTCTCTCAGTGAGTCTTTTAACGCCAACACAGGTATGTCACGTGATGAGTTCTTTTTGACTTAAAAACCGATGCAAAAGCATTGTTGCTGTTACACTTTACATCTACACCGCAAGGTACCAGAGAATCATAATGAGATGTGCGACAGACACTCAGGAAATTGACGTAAACGCAGTCTTAAGGATTTCCAATTTTTACTTTAGAAATCTTATCGTATGTCCGTCTCACATTTGTATGCTTTCTGCTCACTCTCCATTTTCTTCTTCTCCCTTTATCCCTCTTTAACACTGTCAGCTGAAGGTGATAGCAAGTGCAGAGCACGCAAGTTTAGCTCTGGCGATTATTCATTCTTCTTCTTCTTCTGCGTTCGACATTAGTCATGCTAAACAGTGAGTCCCGTCTGGGTCACAAATAGGATTGTGCGTTTAAGGTCGCCAACGGTCCCCCATAGCCTCTCTTTCTTTTTTTTTCCCTTTTTTTTAACGTATCCAGAAACCATGAGTTGTAAACCCTTTGGCTCGGTACTATGGATATCGCAACCCTTCGGCATTGATTCCATTATAGGTACCGTTAATCTGGGAGAAATGTGGCTTTTCTGCCTACCCCCGGGAGTGAAACCGGACCACAAGGAGTTCGTCACCCGGCCGCCGCGAAAGTCAGGTTTAACCAACTTCGCTAGAGAGCCGGGTAGCTTCTCTTTCAAAGTGGCTCTCTTGCTCCAGATCCAGTCTTTGCTGGGAGAGGTAAGGTCAGTACTGTAGTATGTGCCCAGGTGTATGTCTTTCTGCTCCACAATCACAGGCAGCAGATTATTTTATGCCTATCCTGTACAAGTGTGCTCGAAGACCACAGTGTCCAGTCACTCTCTGGTCTGTAATCTTAATCTCCACTCTGCCTTCACCACTCTCGCTTGAAAGACTGCTTTAGCGCTGTTTTGGTTTCCTTGTAGCTGTGTGGTGGATGAGGTTGTGGGAGATTACTCCCAGCTTTTGCCAACTCATCTGCTCTCTCATTTCCTTGAATACCACAGTGGGCTGGTATCCACTGCAAGACCAGTTCTGCTTCCTTGGAGTGTAAGCCAATGTTGGTCCTTTGATCTGCAATTAGTTTGTCTTGTTTTTTGCTTGATAGTGCTCGGAGAACAGACTATGAGTCACTGAGTATAACAATGTTGTTCCCTCTGTGTTCTTGATTGATGAGATGTTGGACTGCAGAAAGGAGGGCAGTTGCCTCAGCTCTGAAGTTAATGCAGATGTCACCTGCTGGTAGAGAGAGAGAGAGAGAGAGAGAGAGAGAGAGAGAGAGAGAGAGATAGAGAGAGAGAGAGAGAGAGAGTTTCTGGTCTACTGCTACGGGTTTAATGTATATTTCACAACACCCCTTTCTGACTGCATCTGTAGCAGAGCTGTCAGTGAAACCTGAGTCCAAGTGGTGTTGGAATACTTCTCGTCAAGCATAGCAAGAGCCAGGGTTCTCTGTTGTGTCTCCGTCTGAGCATCTTTACAAGTGATCCCTGGTACCTTTAGGACTACATTTGCCTTCTCTGGCTTGCTTGTCTATGGTTCTGGCCCAAGTTTTTCGCACAGTGCTATATCTCTTTCAAGCAGATCTCGGTGCTGTCTGTACAGTTGCAAGGTGGTTGGGGCTCTGACGCTTCAGTCTGTTTTTTGTTCTCTCTTGAAATTTAAAATGCAGTGGGTGACTTTCAAGTTTTTCGAATTTATCATACTGTAGAAGAGTTTTGTATTGTCTTCTGAGCGAGTGGTTCAGTATCTGCTATCCTCTCTATCTCTCTGATGAGGGTGGTTTCATGGCTCCGAGAACAATCCTTAATCCCATATTCTGAACCTTGTCCATTTTCCCATTGTTGTCTTGGCTGCTGCAGCCCATGCAGTGGAGGCATATTCCATGACTGGCCTGACTACTCCAGTATATACTTGTTTGAGGATTCTGGAGTTAGCACCCCATGTGGTACCCGTTAATTTTTTCATCACTTCAAGCTTCTTGAATGCTTTCCCCTTTACTGCTTCTACGTGTGACTTCCAAGTTAGTCGCTAATCAAGTGTAACGCCAAGAAAGGTAGGAGTGTCATTCTGTGGAATTAGCTGTTTTTTTTAATCCAAATTTAGATTTTTTTCTTTTTTGGGGGAGGGAGAGAAAAGTGATGCTGTGTTTTTTTAATTATTTAGTTTTAGACCCCACTTTTCGGTCGAGGCTTCTACATTTTCCACAGTTTTCTGTAATAGATATGAGGCTGTGTCTAAACTGCAAAGTCATCAGCATGTAGGGTATTATAAACGTGCTGGTGGCAGGTTGTTGTGATATCATTTATGGAAACCAGGAACAGAGTTTGTGCTAACGCACTGTCCTGGGGAACTCCTTCTCTTAGTTTTGCCAGTTTGCCGATGTGTCCATCAATTCTGAATCTGGCTCTGCGTTGGAAAAGAAAGTCTTTGATCCACTTCGTGTGATTATTGGGTACACATTCCATTATATATGTCATAATATGAGACTTGCAGAGTCTGCGCTGAAGAATTTCATTTAAACACTGAGTCTATTTTTTGTTTTCATTTTTTTTTTTTATTATTATTATTATTTTTGTGTAAGCACACATTGTAAACAACTGTGATTGGTGGTTTGGGGTTTACACAATTGATTTCGGCACAAGGGTAGTAACCCATAAGTGCTCGGTTCTACTTCTAACTCAAGCCTGAGTCCGAAGAATCTCAGCGCAGTGCACAAATTCCGTTGCACCGGTTAGAATCCTAAAATACTTTTATATTTTGTAAATTTAAAATTTGCCCGGCAGCACCGTTAGGCTATTCTTAGCGATTTTTAAATGCCACGGCATTTTATTTTTAACGTGCGCAACAAAAGATAAAGGCGTCCGATTTTAGTACTCGGAGACCAGGGAAATTACTAGAAGTCCACGTGAAAAAATCTCAGCCTTTACCGGGGTCTGAACCCGGGACCTCCAGCAGTCATGCCTGAAGGCAACTCAGCCCCCTTCAGCTGTTTACACACACAGTTCCCCAGAAACTTATGTGCACTGAAGAACCACAACCAGCGTGGAACATAGACACACATGAGCCGACCCCTCAACACACATGGCCGCACAACTGTCCATTCCTGAAAAGAACACTTGACAGAATTCCGAGGCCTACTCATGATCCACCACAATCATCCTTACAGTTCATAGGAGCACCACAGAATTAAATCATGACTAAAACGGTCACATTACTTACACATCCATACACTCACTGGACTTAAACACTTCGTGCCCGCGCGTCAACACAGTTAGACTGAATGAAACCGACTGACTCAAACTACCAAGGGACTTTGTCCACCCGTGGTCAATTCTCACATTCTCGCCAACACTCAAGGTTCACAACCTTTTATTTCTGTCGACCCTGGTTAATCACACAATGTTGTAATAAACTTCGAGCGACACATATCCCCCCCCCCCCCCCCCAAGCGGCTCATGCTCCACAAACTTCCAGTGATCCTAGATATTTACAATTCCAACCTGTCAAACTTCATTAACTTTTTATAACCCACAGTGATTTTTGCATACACCTAAAGACCAATGGATATTTCCCACTGATGACGTGATGAGACCAAGCAACACACCTTATGTACTCTGCTTATCGTGTATTGTGCTTTCCGGCTCCGTGAATTCTCAGAAAAGTAGGTAGCTTCTACTAGAACTACCACCACAGCTACAACGACAAAAACAACAATAGCTACAACAACAAAAACAACAGCTACAACAATAACAACAGCTACAACTACTACAAAACCTAATACTACTGATGCTGCTGCTGCTGGTGTTGCTTACAACTACTACTTTTTACTTCTTCTTCTTCCTCTACTTTTTGTTTTCGTTCTTCTGATTTTTAAAATAGGATTTGTTTATATTGATAACTTATTTATTTCATACATTAGAACCAACGTCATTAAAAAAAAAAAAAATATCTAGCTCTGTCGGGACTAAAAACCCATGACTTTCAGATCGGCAGGCACGTGTCAAGCTACTAAACCACGGCGGCCCATGTAACAAAATAAAGACTATCTGTAACTGGGTAGGGTGGTGAATTGGGGAAAAGGGGGGGGGGGGGGAGACGCACCAGATAAGAGTATAATTGATGTTAAAGGTCGTTTGGAGGCGCTGAGAACAGCGCAGGGTTTGTTGGCAATAGCTCTTTATCTTCATAAGAAGATAACTCCCTAACTTCAGTGAATCTGTGTTTTCCGATGGTCTTTGGCGACTCTTGTGAAAGGGTCGTTAGACCCACCAAAATAACTGCGAACCATAGGTTGAGAATCGCTGCTCTATAGGTCCCGGCTATGTTGCCAATGGAAGTTTTACAGGCTTGATAAGATTTTAATAAACAACCAGGTTATTTGCGAGAGCCGCTGTGGAATAGCGGTTAGGCGCTCACCAGTGGATCGGAAGGTTGTGGGTTCTGGTCTAGACAGTAACCATATACAGGGACGAAACAAATCTAACAAAGAGAAGCTGAAGGCGTTCACAGGGAGTGATCACACACACAAAACACACACACACACACACACACACACGCACAGAATAATACCATAGGAAGGATTGCCAATACTTCCTTTTCTTCTTTTTTCTTTTCTTCTTCTTCTTCCTTTTCTGCTTATTCTTGTTCTTGTTCTTCTTCTTCTTCTTCTTGGCGTCCACCGGCTGTAAACTCTGTGGGAAAGTGGGAAACTCTGTTCGTCCACTTTTGGACTCTTTTTTGTTCTTTTTCTTCTTCTTTTTCATCTTAATCTTTTTGTTCTTCCTCTGCTTCTCCTTCTTCTTCTTCTTCTTTTTCTTCTTCTTCTTCTTCTTCTTCTTCTTCTTCTTCTTCTTCTTCTTCTTCTTCTTCTTCTTCTTCTTCTTCTTCTTCTTCTTCTTCTTCTTCTTCTTCTTCTTCGTCTTCTCTTCTTCTTCTTCTTCTTCTTCTTCTTCTTCTTCTTCTTCTTCTTCTTCTTCTTCTTCTTCTTCTTCTTCTTCTTCTTTTTCTCTCCTTCTTCTTCTTCTTCTTCTTCTTCTTCTTCTTCTTCTTCTTCTTCTTCTTCTTCTTCTTCTTCTTCTTCTTCTTCTTCTTCTTCTTCTTCTTCTTCTTCTTCTTCTTCTTCTTCTTCTTCTTCTTCTTCTTCTTCTTCTTCTCTTCTTCTTCTTCTTCTTCTTCTTCTTTTTCTTCTTCTTCTTCTTCTTCTTCTTTTTCTTCTTCTTCTTCTTCTTTTTCTTCTTCTTCTTCTTTTTCTTCTTTTTCTTCTTCTTCTTCTTCTTCTTCTTCTTCTTCTTCTTTCTTCTTCTTCTTCTTCTTCTTCTTCTTCTTCTTCTTCTTCTTCTTCTTCTTCTTCTCCTTCTTCTTCTTCTTCTTCTTCTTCTTCTTCTTCTTCTACTTCTCCTCCTTCTTCTTCTTCTTCTTCTTCTTCTTTCTTCTTCTTCTTCTTCTTCTTCTTCTTCTTCTTCTTCTTCTTCTTCTTCTTCTTCTTTCTTCTTCTTCTTCTCTTCTTCTTCTTCTTCTTCTTCTTCTTCTCTCTTCTTCTTCTTCTTCTTCTTCTTCTTCTTCTTCTTTCTTCTTCTTCTTCTTCTTCTTCTTCTTCTTCTTCTTTTTTCTTTGTCTTCTTCATGTAAACTCTGGGGGAAAGTTCTAGTTGTTCGTACACTTTTTAACTCTAGTCCTCTTCCAGAACCTGAGTGTTGCATCCATATGTGTTATACCGGCTTTAATTGTTGGCTTGTACACTGTTACCTGCTTGCCTCCTCAACAGATTTACTTTGACTTTGAAGGAAGCTTCAAGTTAGTCGACTCTTACGGCATGCTTTTGGGCAGGCAGTGGGTATTTTCTTGTTTTCCCCAAAAATGGGGCCCCGGAACCCACACACGGAACCGCCAATATTAAAAGCGGAACTGTACGATGCCATATATACACGAAGAAATGTAACTCTCCATGGCCAGATAACATCACAATAAAAGAATTTGTAGGTGCTGGTGAACTAGGTTTAGAAGTTTTGCAGCTGTTGCTGATGGGCTTGTGAAATCTCTTTTCTTACTTTTACAAAAAACAAAACAACATCAACAACAACAACAACAACAAAACTGCTGCAGGGGAATTTGGAGAACATCAAACAGTTAGTAACTAAAATACAACGCCATATATATCTTGAGAACACTTAGAAAGAACCATTTACTTGAACAGAGATCTGTATTTGTGCTTTCATGATTACACCAAATCATCTAATAATGTGAAACATAAAAAAGTTATTAGAATTGTGGAAGCCTAAAGCAATGACGGTAGGGAAAGACCAAGAAAAAAGATGCAGGATAGTTTGACATCATGGAATAGAAGATCAGCTGAGTTGACCGAAAGTACACGAGACAGAAGGCTATAGGCTGTCATGACTACCAACGCCACATGGTGTGAACTTTGAGAAAAGCAGAACATAAACAGCTGGAAATCAATTGGCTATTAAGGAAAGACGACCAACGCAAGAACCATTGACTGCTTTGATTTTATATGATTCAAGAACCCACATAATAACACTCGAGTCATTTCCGTGAGCGCTCCGGCGCCATCTTCAGCGGGCAGCATAGAGTTAATTTAGCAGCGGTGCTAGTAGATTGTATGTCTATCTTGCCTTTGCCTTTGAACGTCAAGCAATTATTTGTTCAAAAGTTTTTAAAATCGAAAAGTGAGGGTCATTTCATGACTAGCAAATTAATTTTTGAATCCACATTCTGATGACCCGACTGCAGTGAACTAGAAACCTCGATTACCACTACGGCTACATAGAACACAATTAAACACTATCACACGAGAAACCGCTATGAAACTATAAAAACCATATAACAAAACATTCAACACAACACGAAAATACACCAAATTAAATATTTAGATAATAATCTGAAAAGGGATCTGCGTTTTCATATCTAAGAACGGCATTCACCGAAAACTGGAAATTTAATAGGGAAATTAACACAAGTGCAGTAAAGCAAACCAGGTTATTGTCATCTCGCCGTCCTCTTCAGCATAAGACGACTTCAAACAGCGGAAAGGAAGATCTCATGCATAACCTATTCAATCCCACTATTTGCTACCAGTGCCAGGCACAGTCACTAACACACACACACACACACACACACGCACACACACACACACATCCACACAAACCACACAGGACAAGTAATAATCACGAAAATGAGATGTCTGAGAAGGGCTGCCGGAGCAACCAGAAGAGACTAAATCAGAAATTATGTCACAACAGAAAAAGAAAAGTGGGCACATAACTAATTGTAAAATGCAAACACAGACGCAAATCAGAAGGTTTGCCTTCTTAGAGAGAAAGCCTTACAACTCCATACTTTTCAAATTATGCATCAACATAGGAGCAAGACGCAGAGCACAAAGTAACCCAGGAACAAAATGTTCCATTGTTGTATCTATCGACATGCTAGCACATCAGTCCCACCGATGTTTGCTCAGTCCTTCGATATAGCAGCCTTCTCAATGTCTCTGTGCTCAGCGTACACAGTAGGTGTTGATTGCATATCTTCCTTCGTTGTCCCTCCACCGGTTTCAGTATGCCTGTCTTCGTGTAGTACCCATTTGCAACAGGTGGTTCATTGTCACTGATTCCTACATTTCAAAGTTTCTAGAACGTTTCTAGTTCTTCCCTGTCTGTACTTTTTATCCTCCTCCAGTTACCGACATGGTAAGTCTGTCGGTTCTTTAATTTGGTTTTATGTCAGTCTTCTGCAGTGTTTGCAGCCAAGATAGATTCTGGAGGTGGAACTTCTGGATGCTGCCAACCCTTTCTTGTCTAATTTTGCTAGTTTAAAATCTTCTTGAGCAGGCTCAGTGAGTTTGTCGCTATCAATGAGTAAATCATCTGCTGCTTTGTGGTTTTTAGCACGCAATGTTAACATTAGATAATATAACTTAAGAACTAAGTGGTTGGCGTGTATACAGTAAAGTAAAGGGCCTAATCCATACCTTCAGCATATAGTGCTAGGGCTCGATTTTATAGACTAAACGACAGTCAGTGGGCGATTTTATCAACACACCACCGGCTGCCATTTTTCCCAGACTGGGTCGACCTGCCAGCTTATGTCATTTTCGATATAAAAGTCAAACTCCATGCGGATTTAAGCCTACGACCTTCGGATCAGCCTGCGAGCAGGTTATTTGTACTAATAAAATTAGTCTTCCTAAACAATGTAAGTAACACATGTTTACATATTCTACGAACGTTTTTTTACTGCATGAATTAGATTGTTCTAATGGCTGGTTTGGATCTAAATGTAACTACAAATGTCGATGTACCTATGATGCGTGTGACGAGCGTGGGGAGTGTACAACCCCGAATATTTGTCAGGCAGGATGGTTCGGTCCTGGATGTCAGTATGGTAGGTGACTTCGTCGTGTATTGTATGTGAAATATAATAATATATACATATATACAAATATCAACATATTTAAATTAACCAATATATATATATATATATATATATATATATATATATATATATATATATATATATATATTAAAAATTAAAAATTGTAATTTTCCGAGTTTGTTATATCTAAACTCGGAAACTACTAAACCGATTGCTTTCAAATTTTCACACAACGTTGCCTCTTACTCAAAGCGTGATTTTTTTGTCATATAATCGCACAAACCACGAACGACGTTGCTCCAGAACACGGTTAAATCATTTTTTGTTTTGTTGCCCGCCCGGATTTGTTTTTAATCGATTGGCCACCTTTGACTGTGTAACACCGAACTTCACATTATTATTATATACTTTCATTTCTACTAAATTGTCGAGTATTTAGTAGCGTAGTTAGTTGTAAGCATTTTGCTGTTTACCTGGGTTATAGCGGTTCGATTCCCCGCTGGGTAATATAATTTTTTTGGGAAGCCCCTAACGTGGTGGCTGTCACGATGTGTTGTGGATTGGAGGATTGACGGGAACTTCATCTGTCAGCTGAGTTGTGTTTGTTTCCGACATGGAGAAAGTTATGCGTGCTACAGTGTGATTTTAGAAAGGGCGGATATGTTTCGATGAGTGCATGTAATGTTGACATTAGTTTGCATCCACCTTAGATATCAAGTACTAGACCTGTCCTATTTTATGTACTGGCTGAAGAAACAGAAGAATAAAGTGTGAAACCGCATTGTGGTGTTCGCTGTCGTCCATTTCTACTCGACGTGTTGATGTCGCGGTGTGAACGGAGGAGTCTGTAGTGACTGGAACCAAAGAGTAATAAATAAGAGTCATTGCAGTTGTACTGAAGTGGCCTAATTGTGTGGTCAAATGGTGCAACATGCAACTGAAGCAACAGAAATCCTGAAGTCTGTCTTTCTGTAGAGGTGAAGTGGCTCTAACCAGTTTAAAGGTGGCAAGAAAAAAGGATCCCCACGATTTTTGATGACCAGTAAAGATTCTCGGCCGCGTCTACGATTCGAACTTATCTGATGGAAGTCCGGCGTATAATGAGTCACTGACAATACGTCTGCTTTGCTACCGAGCAATGCAGGCTCATCGGGAAGCTCAAGGTTTGTTGTCTCCAGTTCATGTTAATTCCAGGCTACTCTAGCCGCTGCTTGTGTACGAGGTAAGCATAATTGCAGTGGACACTATTTAGAAAACAAATAAACACTCCATGAGAGTTTGGAGCACAACTTAGCCCATAACAGAAGAGTTTGAAGTCTGCAAGGTCAGACTCGCGATGATGCTGTGTGGGTGGGCAGACAGGTCTCTAAAGAAAGGTAAGAAATAGACGGTCCTAGATGAGCTAGAATGTGCTCAGGAAGCACTGAAATGGAAGGAAATAATGGGTTACACACAGACCCACAGACGCACCCTAGGACATACAAAAGTCATTTGGTGGTCTAAAGCCTCGATCAAAGAAAGCAAAGACATTGTAATACAGCAGATAAAGGACACCGTAAACGAGACTCGGGTTCAGAAAATCGCTCAACAGTAGCAGCTAGGCCAGTGGATCGAGTTCGAGAGCGCCTTGCCACGAATACTCAAATGGGTTGAGACCTGGCGAATTGCCCCGCCGAGACGGAACTTTGTCCGAACATCAGATTATGTTATGTTACCCTCTGGCGCCAACATGGTCAAAATATGTGCGACCACCAATTCGACATGCCCACTATGCAGAGCTAATCAGACGCTCATGCACATATTTTACAGGGACGATATACATAGCGCCACAATAAGGCCCCAAAAGAGGTAATGGACATTCTTTATCAAGCCATGATGAGAGCCAAGGCGAGGACCAGTCCCACCGCCCCCCCCCCCTCTTCCCCCTCCTTGCGCTTCATCAAGGCTGGAGAGATCTCTAAGTCAATGCCTGACTGTGCGACGACTGGTTTCTAGCGGTCAACCTGCCTGGTTTTGAAAAGTAGCCTATAATCAGTCTGAAAGATAAGCCTGAGATCAGATATGGTCCTGCAATCTGCGGAAAAAATGCCAGCTCATCCTGGCTTAGCTGACAGTACTATTCGAGTCGCGGACGGAAGAAATTCACCTGTACAGGCTCAAAAAAGTATGTTCTTCTGGTTGCCGTTTTCAGAAGAGATGAAGCGTGCAGAGCAAAAATGTAGGCACCAGAATGTTGATTTTAACCTCCACATGTAATATACTGAAGCAGCTGGGCTTGAGAGGCAAAACAGCGTAAGCGAGCACAAAAACAACAGGGCGAAGCTGCTGAAAAGGCTTTAAGCTGGCTTTGGATGCAACGGAAATGTCGTGGGAAGTAGGCCTCAGTAGACCTGTCCCTATTGGAAACATAGCTTTTCATCCATAAAAAGCGAAAATGACTGATACATGTCTCCCAGTTTCTCTCTGCAAATTGCCAAAGCCAACATCTGTCCGATGAACCGACCGAAAGCTAGTTACTCTTGCCGTAAGTGTAGTACCATAATTTGCTACCGCAGCGACAATATATAAAAAATCAAATTTCACAATACATGTTGCAAAGTCACTATTTCGTCCTGTTCTTGTCCGAATGTCTAATAAAGTGCAGCAGAGGATGTCTGAGGCCTGGCATCATGAACCAAGTCGGCCAACCTTTCGAGATTATATAGGAAGTATTGGTTCGAAACATTCGTCGACTAAGGATCTTTCTACTCATGTTTGATGGACCTGTGCTGTGCATGCCCCCCAATGGAGTTCTTCCTCTTGTTATTCATTCACGCTTGCTGACTTGTCACACTAGCTAGTCTTTGTTATATGGGTGTCACTTTGTATCTCTGCGTTGTATGTTACTCGTTGGTGTGAGCAGCGGCCGGCGACATTGCGTCTTTCTCAGTGTTGCTAGCAGTAGCCGGCGATGTTACGTAACGAACTTGACAACTTTTGTATCAGTGGACAGTGTAAAATGTATTGTTCCTCAGTGGCGGTCCTTTTCAAAACCCGCTACTCTGTAGTTCCGGTCAGCACTATAAAAGGCCCACGACAAACTTTCAACTGTTCTGAAATTCTTCGCCGTACGCTGCACTCTCTCCTGGGACGTAAGTTAAGGTTGTGTGGAAGGGGGTTGGGGTTAGGGGTAGTTCTAAATGTTGTAGTGTCGTGATAGCACCAGAGACAATACAACGTGACACCCCTGTAACATCGACTAGCCAATGTGACAAGTGAGTAAGCACAAATAGAAGGTCAAACAATGTGCATTTCGGCCAAAAAAAAAAAAAAACTGTAAGAACCTGCGATTATTATTACTGTTATTG